TTGTCAGTTGTTTTTCACGCAGACATCGAAGACTAAGTCCGTGAAAGGAGAAACGATGCAAGTGACAGTAGGTACCATGTATGTTCGTACGCTTCGGTATCGACAAAATTAGTCAGCGGTATGCATCGCTCGATACTATGTAGATAGCGACTAGCATCATCATGAAACAAACACAAATTAGTTGCAGCCCATTTCGTCTTTTTACAAATACCACCTATAATATTATAATACAGAGGCATGTTTTTACATTTTTGCGGCGGATATGCGCTTAATATTACTAAATCACAAGCTAACGGCATTTCGGGCCCTAGGGCTCATATAGATTATTTCAAACGTATGGCAACAACATGACAAGACTCGAAGTAGCATCCATTACCGCGTGATGGAGCAGATGGTAACAAGACCCGTAAATATGCGAACGTTTTGTTAAAAACCATACTCATGAGCAAAATTCAACAGATATGCTTTGAACGATAGGCCCGAATCTGGACATTTAGCTTCAGTAGTGCCATGGGCTTTTTCAAAGTATGTGGGTTACAACCAAGGATGACCGCGTTTGAAAAAACTCAGCCACAACTGAGACACTTTTAAACTAACTCCGTGTGTTGTCATTTTCTGTACACAGGTTTTTTAGCCTGGCACAAGCCATCCAGCCCGTTTCTATAAAAGGCCAAATTTCTTGCAAAGAGCTCAAAATCTTTCGAAAAAGAAACCACACAAAGCGATTTTGGAACCAATCATAATACTTTGGAATCCTGACAAAGTTCACGTAATCCATGCTTGCAGGTTAATGCCACTTATTGTGAAAGCACCGAGAAGGACAAATGACAAGCATATTCATTGCTGCCAGCAACAAAAACCGACACGCAGCCTTGTGCCAAAGCTTGTCTTTCTGAAAGCGTAAAAATGGAAATGCTAAAGAACGGATAATGACATGAGCGGCAGCTTTGCTTCACGCACAACCCTTTCATCAGCAACGCACGTTCCATGCACATACTCTGTACACTTTGGAATGCATCAAAGTCGGCTTCCAACTGCCAGCACTCCTGCCAGGTAAAATCGCTGCCGGCCATACCTCCCCAAGGCCCTGAAAGGCGTCAACAATATCGCCACCACCTATCCGGCGTTTTGCAATACTGTTCCAGACCCATGAACAGGCGTGTAAATACCTGATATCTCAGTCTCACAAATACCGTGGACTTACCGGTGCACTGTGTACAAATCTGATCTAATGTGCAAACTGCTTCCAGCTTCAACGATTAGTTACGCTGACGTTATGTAATGCACAAAACGTCGCTAGCTGGAGCGTAGTTTCGCAAAAATAAGTTAAGAGGGAGAGGGGAGCTGAACAATGAAAAATGACCCAATATATCCTCAAGTATGCCAGCTAATAGGGTTCGTCCCAGATTTTGCCTACTTTCTTCCAAAGTTGGGGAGGGAGACTAAAGCCCTCCTTCCAACTGAAAAAACGACTACACCCTGGTCGCTCATCTTGGCCGAAATATCAGAGAGGTAAGCAAACACTTCCAACATGCTGAAATCAAATGATATTAGGCCATTAAGGCCGTCCATATAATACGCTATGCATTTTTCCATTTTTTGTCCTTCCCACCATGGTTACGCACTGGTTTCGTTGGGCGAAGCTCTTTCTTTCCTGCTTGCGCTGTATGCGTTACACAACCGCAAAAGTTACACTCGTTGACCCCTAACTGAGGAAGGGTCGCAAAAAAGATGGACACATTGTTTACCATGTGAGGAACCCAATACTATCAATTTTTATCTAAACATCATAAGAACACTTTAACGCGATTTGCAGCCACACCCGAAAGTAGGTAAGGTCTTCCCATACTGCCCACCACCTGGTTACAATTCGTCACGCTTCACCCAAAACGCTCTCTCCTCCTCGTCCATGGGTAGCGTGATATATGGGCTTAGAGCTTGTAGAAAAACTGTTAAGCACTTCCAAATTTTGAATTTTCTTGAATATTCTTTAGTAATACAAAAATAACCCAACGGATTGCATTCCGAAACCTCAAGGTTTTGCATGGTCTGATATGAGTTACTTTCAAAAAGCTTACTTAAGTGTTTTTGAGCAATGTTTAAGGGGCGTTAGCCATTCCAAACATCCCAATACTATCTATGAGATGGTGAGAGTTTAGGATCATGCCTTTTATATGCTCCTTTATTTTTTATTCAATACAACTTAAGCTAGGTGATTTCAACTTTGGTACGTCATTGCAATTCATCACGATCACTAAGTTAATTTGCCATCACCCCACTATTTACCTCACATACACAGACAGCAATGCAATAAACTTCATTCAAACACCAACGGCAGGATAAATGCTTGAAAAGTGCAACTTCACACTCAACCCACCGTCCTAGATTCCTACTGGTGCCAATGAATAATTCGACCTATAAAATCTACACTTTCGTTGGCACTTCCTACAACCCGCTCGACCGGCCCCAAGCATCGCTGTGACCTTTGGTTCCGGAGAAAAGCGGAGCGTGCGGCACCTTGTCCAGCTCACAACACCACAAAGTCCTGCAGCATGCTCAACAGGACCCGCTGGACAGGGCCCAGCGAGCCGGCGGGCTGCGGGGGGCCAGCCCCGGCGCGTGCCTTGCACAGCAGGGCTCCGCCGTCCCGAGTGGGCGCCGGCCAACGCCGGTTGATGATGGAGTGAGACGGCTACAGCTACGATCGATGCACAGGTTGTCCAGGGCGGCGACCGCGTCTCCGCTGACAAGCGGCTCGTCAATGGCGTCTAAACGCTCGGGGCGGCGTCAGAGCCACCCCTGGGACATCTGCCGAGTGATCGGCTGGATGCCGGGCACGTTCGGGAAGCGGCCGCCAGGCGGCAGCATCAGCGGCTCGCGCGACGAAGAGGGCGCTACGTTCGCGTCGGGCGAGGCGGCCGCGTTAGCCGGCGGCCAGCAGCCGCGGTGAGGAGCCGGCCGAGGCGCGGGACTCGATCGACGTCTGCCGCGTCGAGTCATCGGCGTGGTCGTCGATGAAGACGAACGAGTTGCGCGAAGGGCTGGTGCGCTGCCCGTCGCCGGCGCACCGTTTGTGTTCAGGTCCAGCGTCAGAGAGGGGACTGGCCGGGGCTTCTGCACTTCGCGGCGGCGCAGGCTGCCGCCACTGGCGTCGCTGTCGACGCTGGGCTGCCGGCGGCTGCCGCGCCGCTCGCCGCCCGAGCTGCAGCTCGAGTCCTCGCTCCGGCTGCGCGACAGCAGCTTAGCGACGCGCGCGTTCTTGGCGGCCCTCGACCAGAGTCCCCCAGCGCTTCTTGCTCATCTCACGCTTGGCCAATCGCTGCTCGGCGACTCGGGCAAACCTGGAGAGCCGGAAGGTGGGGGACTTGGCGCCGGCCTCCTGCGCTGCCTCCAGGGCCGAGGCCGAGGTCAGCGACGAGGGGGCCAGCGCCGCGGTCAAGGTCGCCGAGAGCGTGGACTCGCGCCGGCTGGCGGCGGCAGCCGTCGCCGCCGATGGCGGGTGCATGGAGCCCAGGTTGAATCCCTTCATCAGACGCCGTTCCTTCAAACGGTTCTTTTTGCCACCCGACCCTGCGGGAGATCGAGGGAGGTTAATGCCGCCGAAATTGAAGGGGCTCAGTGGAACGCCGGGAGCGGGAAGATCCACATTTCGGCACTCCGGCACGGAAGTGGTTCGAGTGCGTGGGGTAGGTAGCGGCTCACGAGGTTCGAATCCTGGAATCCTGCAAAATCGTGAGAATTGCAACGAAAAGATTTGGTGTTTTAGGACCTGAGTCTCAGTTCTGAAATAACTGTTCTCATTATTTTACTACCATTACGGACTGACCCGCTAAAATCCGTTGGACTCTAAATAGTCAGGCACGAGAAGAGCTGGCTTGATTGAACAGCCCACTGTTTTTCACAACTGCATGTGCGATCAACTAAATTGCCATGGTAAAATGCGCGACATGTCGTGGAAAAATCTGCAACATACTATGATGCTTTCTAACCAGGATACGGGCGTATCTGGGAATTAGTTGCTTGATCTGGGCAAACGCTATAATGGGCTAAACTGTTCATTACACAGCAAATACGTCAGAAAAACAACGCTGCACGTGATGAAAATGCTGACTTTCGCAAGCAAATCAGAGGCTTTCGGCAGCATAGTAAGGTCCCCCTGACCTCGTGTGAAGAGCCGAAGATTTAAGTGGAGAATCACTGAGCGGTTGAGAGAGCCTTGGTAAGTGATCGCATAGGGCTCCCCACAAAACCATAGGGTTCTCTAAGCAAACATGAAGTGCCCAAGACCCATTCGGTAAGGCTCTGTGGTATCATCAATGCCCGGGCAGGGTAACGGACAGGGCCATGAGAAGATTGTAGGGTCCTCTGTGAATGTGAGCAAATGCAAAGGGCCCTAGACTAATGCAGAGGGCCCTGAGGATCGAGCGTCTTCGTGTATTAACTTATATGGCTTCCAACAACGTCACATGGTCCTCCAGGGCCCTCCGAGAGCAATGTGAAATGCCTCTGCGCAGCCGAGAGTACCCTGGTAGATAGCATATCGGGTCCCGGTAAAAGCACATGGAGTCCTCCGGAGTAATGGAAAAGATGCATGGAGGCCCCTTGATCGCCAGAATCCCACGATAAGCTAGCAAAGTGTGCTTCGAGAACAACATAGGGCTTTCCAGGCAAATGCAAAGACATCATGGCAAACGTGGGGAGGCTCCTGAGCGTTTGAATTGCCTTAACAGGTGCGTTTATTTGGTGCCAGCAATAAGATAGCGAGCGTTGAAGGTTCCATATTCACCACTCTCTCAATCACCTAAGAATTATATTTGTCTACTCATGTGCCTTTTTTTGCTTGTGTCTGTTCTTGGTCGCCTGGTAGTACAATATGTCCAATTTTGTGTTATTATCAAAAAAGGAACTTGCGTCCGTTCGGCCGGTTATGGGTCGGTTCGGTCCGTTCATGACTCCCATCCCCCTCCCCCCAAGGGAGAGGAGTCACGGCACGCGGCACCTCTCTAGGTCCGCCACTGAGTCCTTACACACAGTGGACACAGAGGCAGATACAGCACCCATCAATGATACAGGGATACACGGTCACAGATACAGCACTGGCCGATGACTGCTCAGCGCAGATACATGTACTGCACCGACCAGTGGTAAGTACCCAAAAGTACCCAAAAACCCATGTACCGCCGGCCGTTCCCGATGATGTACCATGTACCATGTACCATGTACCATGTACCATACCATGTACCATGTACCGCCGGCCGTTCCCGTTGAGCAGACGCGACACGTACACAAATGCACACGAGAAGAACCATCCGCTGCTTTTTTCTGCTATCATTATTACACTAACCGCAGCACAGCTTTGATTAACCGTGGCTAACCGTTGCTAGCAGGCAGCACTAACCTGGGTAGGCTTAACAACAAACTGACCAGTGCCGGGGTTGGCAGAGGATGTGTTCATGCCCGAGTTGCGCAGGATCTCGACCAGCTCGCAGCGGAAGGCCGAGATGTCCTGTTTGATCTCGTTCACGTCGTCCTCTGTCACGCCCTGGTTGTCCGCCTTGCGCTGCTCACGCGTCACGTAACGCCGCACCAGGTTCCGCATGATGGTCTGACGTCACACCGCCACGAGCGGCGTCACGACTTGGGTCGTGGCGCCCCGCGCAGCACAGGCGGCGTGACGTCACACACCGCCGCATGTGGGTGGGTGTGACGTCACCCAAGTAGTGCGGCTGTGCTTGGAGCCTCGCAACACATGCACATATTCCACAGCGTTTGGTTATTTCACAGCTGACGGTTTTTACCCGTGGCAAGCGCATGATATAAGCTGCTACGCATTAGAACATACATGAGAGCAGCAGACAAAAAAGTACAACGTTACGCTACCGAGCGCATGACAGAACGAAAATGTATTGCGGTGAAAAATAGTTTGGGTTTGCGGTTCCTGTAGCAGGTTATGGCAACAAATCAACAGCGTGAAAGCAAACAAGTGCGTTATTGTGCAACCGAGTCGATTATCTGTTCCCAAAATTCCCTTGTATACTTAACCGTCGCACTGACTATAGGTATGCAGCAAGGACCCTATATCTGCTACTTTTCGTCGCAAATGCAGAACAGCTCACGGTAGCTCACTGACATTTTAGGACACGATATACAAGCCTGAAACACGCTCTACATATTCTAGGCGCATATCATGTTAAAACATCCGGAGGTGAGCCCAAGGGGGCCCCAGGGTCTGTTTCTCGGCTAGCGGACCGCGGGACCCTTGAGGGCGAGGATCCCAGAACTTTGGAATGTGTCGTCTCTTCAATGGGGGCCGTGGATGACTCAACAAATGACTATAACCATGCATACCTTCACTACTGTCCCCTTCCAATGACTGGTGGCCCCTGGATGGAAGTTGTCCCTCAGGCAAAACAATGGATAAGGCACTACCAGCCTCTCTGCTTTTAAGTAGGCAATGGGAGACCAAAATACAGTCCATTGCGGCAATAGTACTATGGCACACGTTCTCGTGTGGGTGTTTCATAATTGCTTTGACGTTTCTACCATACGTTATTACTTCCCGACACGTGAGCCACATCTTGACGTCCATATGCTAACTAAAAAATGTTACTGATGTAACATCCAAAATCCAATAAGTTTTTAAGGGTTTCAGATTCACTGTCATATCACGCGCTCGGGTGGGGGTCAAACTGACTCCCCGAACGTTTTTTTCGAAATGGTTTCCCAACGGATCGCTGACCTACGGCAGGTCAAAGTCAGGCCATCGATTCTGCAAAGTCAATTTCTAGAGAATCGTTTAATCTAATGCCACAACGGAGTGTTAGACTAGACCATATATCTCTGAGATACTTTCTGAAGTATTGCAATCAATGAATGAGCAAATTCCATTGACCTAAGGTCCGTTTTGAAGGTCAGATAAAGGTCAAATCCAATCTGTTTTAATACTCAAAGGCTTGCTGTATGGGATAGTTTCTGGTGATCATTTTGAATTTGCTGATACCAGGAACCACATTACACATCTTTCATGAACTTCTCAAAGGTCAGAATAGGTCACTGACCGAGGCCAAAATTTCGTTTGTAGGAACATACTACCTAGCGTCATCATTGTCGCTTTTTCAAATGCAAAACTCAAAGTAGTCTTGTATGATTTTGGTCGCCAGAACCTTCGAAAGGTTAAACAAGGTCACTGACTTTAAATAATCATGTGACCCTTTGCTCAGAACTGGTATCTAGGTTCTAGGAGCACCTCGGAAGCCTAACTGGAGATTGGCCTTGTTCGAACTTATTTGACACAAAGGTCACCGTCTAGGAATCTCAAACTTTGAACTGAGTGAGTTCCGGCAAAGGCCAACACACCCTATGAATATGGTGTTTTTAGCTCTCTTATTTCCTGAGACCTCAGGGGCGGGAATCAAATTGACCTCCCACCCGAGCGAAGTGTATTCAACCGGCCACTCGGGCGCATGATATCAAGTGAATGACTTAACTATGCACATATTCCAAGGCTCAACGGTCACGCACATTATTTCTGGTCGGTGTATTGTTTGAAGGTTCTGAATTCAGCACCAGAATTATTTTGTGAAGATGCAACATACAAATCAGAATTGCTGTTATGTATCTTCTAAATCACTGCTATGACCCTGCACAATCGCCCGAGTGGGCACAGATTTTCGGCAGTGCGACGATTAAGCAAAAAAATATCTCACAAATTGATTTATTTAAGCCATAGCCCTTGCCCTGATAGATGGAGGGGTTCGATGCGAGCCTCCATCAGTCATTGCTATCAAAATCTGCAAATCAGGGCGAGGGTTAAGGTGAAAGGGTGGGTGCTTTTGTTTGCGTTTTAAGTCATACATTAATAAGCAGCCAATACACGAATCACACGAATGCAATCATTCTGAAGTTTGATAACTGCAGGATCAATGTACACCGTACATACAAAGGCTCGGTGCACTGACAACACCTAACGGCGTCAACACAATCACCAAATGAGAAGCCAACTAAAACCCAGAGCTGCGATACAACAAGACGGAGCGTTGAAGGCAAATAAGAAGGTCTTGGACAATGAGACCCGAAAACCACAACAAACCCACTGATAAAACATGACGATATAGGATTTGTCCCTTACCTCATCATGCTTTCGTCGCCAGACCAGTGAACAAACGTTCGGGATGAGGTCAGTTTCCAGACAATGAGCTACTTAACGAGCACGAAAACGCAAAATGCAGCCGGAATTCTACCCCTAAGACGCTAATCAGATAAGAAACACCACAAGCAGGCACCTGCGTCGCACATACGCATTTCAACAAAAGTACATCTGAGCACGGACAAGCCTCTGATGCAAACTAGGAAGGTTTAAAAAAGATAGCATATACAACTACTAGAGCATTGCAACACAACATACAATACTTTTTTGTCTGATCTAACTAGTAATCTAACTAATCATCTCAACACTGACGGCGAGGGACAAAAGTGATTGTTGCGATAGGATCGTAAATCATGGCAGGTGTGAAAGGGAAGTGTTTGAGTGTAGGTGGCTTTACTTTCGTTCGGTCACACAAAATCGAAACATCGCGGATCCTGTTATTTCGTGCCTGCTTATCTTCGCGAAACCCATTCACTTTTAAAATGCAAAAGATAAGTGTGCTTAAATTTCGCTGCAAATTGGTAGGAAACCGATGTCCATGACACAACCTAATCAATATTAGGAGACATGGATACAAATTCCGAATTAATAACACACACGTCGTGGTAGTAAAATAATCGTACGTAAACTTTCAGTGCGAACGTACCCATTGCCAGTGCCAAAGAGTTTAGGATACCGCCAAAACGATTATGTTATCTCTCACATACTATTACTGCTATCACAGGAGCTGGGCTGGAGCCGCACACCGAAGTTGATAAGCCGCGTCAGTCGCGCGGAAACCCAGCTTGTAATTGTAACGGTGACTTGCTTCAAGCCGAAAGTCATTCCAGCGCAAGGCACGAGAAAGAACAGCTGGAAGCAAGCGGAAGCTTACGGCTAAACGTTTTGCTTTTAAAGTGACATTCGGCCAAGACCTGGTAGATGTTTGTGCGGTGGAATCACTTTGCATTTCGACGGTCCACTTAGCGCAAGCGCACGGGTCATGCATGAGGGCGAAGCGTGGAGAGAAGTGCCAAGAGGCAGTAGTGATGCAAAGACGACCATTGCAGGTCGGGCGATCAGCCGAGGAGATGGTGGAGACAGCAGAGACCGTTCCCAGTCTTTTGCATCCAAAGGTTCGACAACATGCGCTTAAATTATAGTCTGGAAAATATATGGGCATTGACAGTGATCCATTCCGCATGTTACCTTCTGGGAACCTACCAAATAACATTAACTTGTAACCTGTACAGCTGTAAGTCCCTGAACAAATGAAACCATTTTTAGCTCATCAGAGCTTTGGTGGATTATAAATGATTCCCGAAAGAGCCGACCACCTTGCTTCAAAGCTGCCCTGTCCATGGCTAGCTGTCAGCTGATGCCGCATAAAAAAGTTCAAGCAGATAAAGCGCACCTTCTTAGACTCAGACTTGTCTTTTCACTGAGCTGATTAGTGGATCAGATTTGTTCAACCGACTTTCATCTGTATGCGCTCAGGAGACAGAGAAATGTCTAGTGTCATAAAGCCAAAAAGGACATGATTATTTTCTTAAGACATCCCTAATTTGCCTTTCCGACGGCATCCCACTCGAACCAGAATCTTGTCTGAATTTGCTTATATCCCATAACCAAAGCTATAAACGTCCATTTTAACCATTTTTAGTTCGCGTTTGGGACGAGTGGGAAACGCGCTCCAACAAAACACCTTGAACGTAAGCGCGCTGAAAGGAAAACACAGCGCACGATGTGGGTGCGGATCTCCACACCTGGGGCACTGCCAGCTGTTATCGGCAGCCCAGGGAGACGTGGGTGGGTGCAAAAGTGCCAGCGCCGACCATGGTGGTGAGTGGCAGCAGGGAGGCGACGCAACCGTTGACTTACCTGATACCGGTGGTTTCTCTCGCTCGCCTGTCGCACCTTGCGCTGCAACAATGGCGCGGGGCAGACAATTACCGGCCGCGAACGGCGGTGTGGACACCCCCGGGGTCACCAAGGGTCAGCTGAGGTCAGGACATGGCTGGGCGGTGGCGCTAGCACACTCTAACCAGGCGCTACATCCCCCATAGCCGGCCCCTGCTGCGTGCTTCAGCCACGGCAGACAATGGCGCTGATTAACATGGTCGGAGGTTGGAAAGGAATGTAATCAAAGCTCACTGCGCTGAAATAGAATTTCGAGCGAAGGCGGCAAGGTGCCAGCGGCGGCATTTGATTTGCGTTCCAGGAGCTGGAAGGCATTGATTGCGACTTAGTTAGCCGACAATGAGCCATTCCCGAAACTGGAGCGGCATGAACATCGGCCCTATGGACCATGACGTTTCAACTACAGTGGATGTAAATTAACGCCCTGCACGACAGATAATTTAGATAGATGCTGGAGCTGAGATTAGGTTAGCCCTTGACGTCAGCTGTTCTGGCTAGCTAGTTTCCGATCGACACCAAGGCTCCGGCTGATCGCACCCAGGATGACGATGGATGCTGTGAGTGCATATCGAGGCACATTCGCTTTCGGCAGATGAAGTTGTCAACGTCGAATAGAGTCAAGATAGCCCATTAGGCCTCTTATTGTTACGCTTGTATGGCCGTTTACATTTACCTGATTGAAATCTGGGGGATGAACTTTGAGCGCGGAAAGCTTACGCGGCAAAAAATGCAGAGCGCTATGAATTCGATGAGCTTCTTCCAATAAAAGGAGCCTTCTGTCACTTAAGCACTCATGACAAACGCACAGACTCAGCCCAGATACTATCGACATTGAAAGCAAGTGCTGCTATCTCCAGTGCCCCTTCTCTTAGTCGAATACCTCATAATTTTAAACGAGATTCATACGTAGTTAAACGAGTACTAATTTTGACATCGTGCAGTCTCGTACTAGCGGTTCTCTGTCAGCTCGCGCTTCATACACAGCCTAAGGCGTGCCGTGTTTGTCTTCTGTGGTCCGGTGTGGCGCCGTTGGAGGTGATGGTGGTAATGGCTGGGCGACGGATCCTCCTACTGCAAGACACTACCGTCACGATGCGCGTGCGCCATGGCATAACGTGGACATGCCGCTCCGCCGCCGAAGGCAGGCTCACCGCGAAGACCCGCTCCTCCAGTAAGGAGTTCTGAACAGCGGGAGCCGTTCGGTCAGTTAGCGACGCAGGGGTCACTTTGGGGTTATGGACGACCTGTGAACTATATGACGGTTGCCTGGAGGATCGGAGATAGAATTTATCGTAAAACAGACGTCAGTGTACCACTAACAATGACCGACGTTTGGGTTTCGGCAGGCACTAAACTTCCATACAGATCTGCGACAGCAACTGACTGGGAGTCGTTGAGTGGTAAGCACCCAGTCCCCGGATAAACTATTTGTGTCCAGGATTGTTTGGAGCGAGTTGTGGGTAGACTCATGTTGAATGTGAATTATTTCACCTGACAGGATTGGCCGCACTGAACCGAGCAGTGCGCATAAACTTGAACAGTAGCCTGAAGCATATAAAAAGAGACGAGAAGTAGTCTGATAAACAGCGGGATCAAATAAACGGTGAAGCCTAGATCACTTACAGTAGCTGAAAAAATAGCACATTTTCTTTCTACAGGGCTTCAATCAAAAATAGAATCAGACATACATACAACTCAGAAAGTAGCGCAAAACCAGATATGAGTTTTCTCCTTGAACTGCTTTGAGGAGCACCACAAACGATTTCAAAGCGTAGAAAAGTGGTGTCGCTGCCGTAAAACGCCCTGCTCCGAGACGGGCCGACAGTCAAGGGTTCCTGGATTGAGGGGGTACGGGGGACGGGAGACGACGCCGCGGCTTACCCTGACGGTCCGCATATGTTCCTTGCGCGCGGCATGTGAGTGGCCGCAGAGCTTGCGGATCAGCCAGCGGAACATGTAGTAGATAGACTTGGGCGTGATGATGACGTTGAAGGGTGGCGGCACTGTCCCGCCCTCTTCAAAGTAGCTCATCCAGAGCTTGCTACGGGCAAACTTCCACTCGGTGTCGGCACGTTCCTGAAGGCGGTCACCACTGTCAGTGTGGTCAAGCCTGGTCACGTGGCGGGTCAAGCTGGTAAAGTATCTCAGCACCAATGATAACCAGTGCACCACCAACTTTGTCCCAGAGGTAATGGCATCCTTCGGAATCAGGCAAAGAACTATGACCAGAATGATCAACTGGATATAATGGCCTTTGTGAGTTGGTTGTCATTTCATTCATCAGGGATGACCTCCGTGAAGCGGTGGTGGTTTCATTCATCAGGGATGACCTCCGTGAAGCGGTGGTGGTTTCATTCGTCAGGGATGACCTCCGTGAGGCGGTGGTGGTTTCGGCTGCTAGGGATTGCCTTTGATCGGATGTTTTGCGGTCAAACGCATGGTAGACAATCGTGCCCCCGTCGCATTGGACAAATACCTTTTTTTGTTGTGTCTCAGATATGATGCAATATCAAAGCCTACAACTGCTCTGTTCTATAATATCAAAACAGCACTCATCATTTCATAAACGCAAGCACTAAGGACGTTTCCGTTAACAACTCTCAGGTGATCTACTTGGACTTACAAAAAGTCATGATATGACCACTAATCACTATATTCTTGAGCATTTTGTCTACATGCGAGGCGCACTTGATTGGCACCATTGCTAGATGGTCTAGCACTTTTCCACTATTAGTATCGGGCAAACAAACACAATGCAACGTATGCAATTAATCTTTTTATGGAACAAAATGTTGTTGCGCGATACTCATTGTCATGGATAAGGTGTGAAAAAATAAACGATGACTTTTACAATTTTTTTCGGAACGCTTAACACCACTAAGACTTCGCCACGCGAAGTGCAAAACTAACCCGGCGCCATCGATCTCAATATTTCAGTCCATAGAGACAACGTGTGGGCACCGCCCATCTTGACTTGTTAATCGTAGGCCAAGTTATATGAGTTTAATCAAGTCACCGACCTAAAAGGTTTTACTTATTTCCGAGCCTAGTCCTTGCTTTTTTTGGAAAGCAATTCGCTTATGAGCCCCAGCGTGTAGCACTGGCTCTATGGGAAAACTAGTAAATGGGGGAATCGGTTTCCAAGCTTCGCTTTGTCCGCACCGGCTATAGATGCATTGGGTTTTCAGCTGGCTGGTGACCCACAGCGTGAGCCATAAGCTCATAGCAAGCTAATTTGTTTTTCACGTCTGCCTGGGAACCCGCGGACGCACTTTCGTGAAATTGTAGAATCAAAGCCTGATCAAAGTAAAGCAAAGAGACTTGTCCTTTGCGTCTGTAAAAATTGATCATTGTAATAAACTCAACTCCCTCATCCTGACCAAACCTATTTTCATTCCAAGACTAAATCAATTTCGATTTCTGACTTGGCACAAATTTAGAGGTGCACATAAACCGAAGCAAAATTCTGGGGACCAATTCCATCATGTGCAGCGTGCACGGACGTTCGAGGAAATACGTCCAAGTGAGGATATCGAAATTTCCTAAACTGAAGTGGATGTGGGTAACGAAATGAAACAAAGATAAGCAAAACCTAGCAAGCGGTCAAGCCTATCACGAATCCTAAGTTTCTGAGATCCAGAGTTCGGGTTGTCCCGAGTCGCTCGTTCCACTACGAGCCAGCCCTAAACTATACCAATTTTAACGGATGTGCAGTTTAGGTACAGTTTCAAAGCTAGTATCTCTTAAACTCACATGCGGCGTTACTAATCACCCAAAGATCAACAACTAAGTTGCATCATAATCTCACGATCGAGGGATATCTTCTGCCGTTTAAATCACGTAAATTGACTGATCTGTTAGTCGTGGAAATATCTAAGATGGCAAACACTCAGTAAAATGAGCATGACCCAGCTATTGCTGATTAGTACCGCATCAACGACGGATTGGTTGTCACATGATAAGCAAAAAACCCTTGTGTTTTTTAATAGCATACTGAATTTCACATCTTCATTTTACTTATGTATCTATCCATGTTTTGCTTTGTTCAAACTGCTACGGAAGAATTTGGACCTTTTACTTTTTAACGTAATGCAACATCTGAATCCCATTGAATAGGAGCGATTTGCTTTGAAATTGACATATCGGTGGAATACCTAAGACAGCAGCAACGTCTACGCGTTTCAATACAAGCACGAGAGCTTTGAGAATTAGGAGCCCAAACTTTGAACTCCCGTTACCCCAAGTAAGCAGTGCGTGAACTGATCACATGGCGGGCTAAATGCTTAGTCACTTTAAGGGAATGTTCCCCATTTGACAGCATTAAAGCAGACAACAGGTATGAAGTAGTTATAAGCTCACTTACAACTATTGGTGTACTTTGGTGAACAAGACTTCTTTAGGCAGCACAGTTTCTCTGTTTAGTAAAGATTCTCCTCAATGCATCGTTGTTTGACTGCGTTATGAAACAGTTGTGACAGCAATCATTTATAGCTCTTCGGTCTCCGAGAGGTAGCCCGCAGTGATGTTGGATGTGTCCTGAACCAAATTTTGTTACATGCTTGTGTTTTGGCCCTTTCTTGTGGTGTTGTTGCATATTTATCGGTGGGTTGAAGGTGCTTACTTGTACTCACGGACTTGGTTAAAACGCTGTTCTTAAGTTATTCGACTGGAAATCTTATCTCCATACTAACTACGAAGAATGTATAGCTTCTTGTATAATGTAGCACAAAACGTAAATCAGTAAAAAGCTTGCATAGCTTGTACAACAAAATTTGAAAACCACTTGACGATCGCTTTAACTGGAACTCGTACTCACGAACATCAAATATAAACAACTCGACAATCACACATTGCTTGGCCTTGACTGCCCCATGGTGAGTGGAATGGTGGGATTTGAATGACGTTATTATGACATTTTGCATGCCTGAGTGACTTGAAATGGTCTACACGAAATGTTATGCATACCTCCACGGTTGTGTAGCTCAGAAACTAGAAGAATTTAGGTCTTAAGAAGAGCAGGACTGTGAACTGTCCGAATGATCTTCAAGATGGCTATATCGGTTCAAAACCCCATACAAATACCGAACATTCCCTTGAACCACCTCAAGCTCACACAATGTGCGGCATATGACAGTATCTTTCGACTACGCATGCGAAAAAAGTTTCCAAATGATGATAACATCCCGTGAAACCTGACCAGGCCACGACAAGCTGAAATGAACCACGATATCCCATATACACCGCCGACCGGTAGAGAAACATCCGCAAAACGGGCTACGAACAAACATATGGGTGACATAGATCACAAATAGCCTAAGATCAAGTGCTGGCGGGCACACGAATCACCACGATCAAGTGTGGATGTGCCAGCCTGTAGAGTACAGCACAGTGCAACACGATAAAGGTCACGGATCCAGTACGAGGGGTTACTCCTGCTCCGAAATCCAGTTCAGGAAGATATCCAACTTGGGTGGAACCAACGACACATTTGTTGCACTCCTTCCCCAGTTTCTGGATTCGCGCCTGGCTCGCGGAAGCGTAACCACCACATATCTACGAACGAGCACACGTGCCCATAAAAGGTCACAGCTAGTCGACCCAACATTAGTGGCAGCGGCCTGGGACGATCTAACGGCACACAGACTGGCGTTGACAGCAGACACCCCCCGGGACGTGGCGCTACCGCCGTAGTTGCAAACGCGGCCATTTCCAAGCAGGGATGCGGTGCAGGCGGCGGACGGCCGGAGCGACGGACAGGCGGCGGCCGCGGCGTTCGGGTGCCGGCGAGGCGCGATGACGTCACACCGCCGGAGCGGCAGCCGGGCGCACTGCTACAGGCAGCCAGCTAGTCCGCCGAGGACGCTGCTCGCCGCGACAGGGACGGGCCGTGACTCGCGCGTGGGGGCGGCGACGAGGCCACGCGCCCGCCGGCCGCCGCCCTACGGTCGTCACCGGCGGCCCGGCGCAAATGGCCGTGGCTCGTGGCTGGGTGAGGCGGGACGCACCGGACCGATCCCCCCCCCCCCCCCCGATCGGCGGTCCTGGCTCCGCCCCTGCCGCGGCGAGCAGTGCGAACACATGCAGGTCTACCAGGCCGGAGCTGAGGGAGGTCCGACACGCCTACCTCGATGCCACTATTTGAGCCCTTTGTCGCCCTGTGACTGAGCGTGCTGGATGACACCTAAAAACGCAGACATCAATTACAGGAGGCGGCCGCAGAGCGCCGGCGGCGCAGGAGCGGTGGCGGAACTCATTTTCAGTGGGAGGGGCGGAGAGGCGGGGGAGGGGGCGTTGTCCCGACCACCAGCACGACCCGATACAGACAACAGCACGCCCCGTCCGCGATATTACCGCTCGTCGACAAGGAAACTACCACGATTAACGGTCGGTTGGGAGGACGCGATTCTGAATTGTCACGACATTCAAAACGAAAATCAACGGTGTTCCTCTCTCGTGGGAAAGCTTAAGACGCAGACCACTGTGCCGTCAGCCAGTAGCCATGCTCTTGCGCGCCCGCCCGTTTGGGCTCTGTTCACAGCGTCACAAATCCGTCTCAAAACCTAGATCAACAGAACACCGGCCATCACTGACCAGAGGGATCAGGCATCAATTATCAAAACCACAGTCCCAGATTAAATTCCTCTGCTAACCCTCACAGATCCCTCCTTGCGCAGTGAACGCTTTCAAATGGCAGGATGCGTTTTAAGGTAAATGCTGTAAAAATGTGTCGCGGTATGAACGGAGTGTAGCTTAATAAACTCTTGCTGACTTCTAATCATCGAAAATTCTCATTAACGTTGCGCATGTCATAGTAAAAAAGACCAAAAATACTTTGCGCTAATCACACAGCATTTTTATATGAGGCACCAGCAATGTGGCATCACAAGGCATTGTTGGTTTCTGGCGACAACACACATACAAGTAAAAACTGGATGCGCATTAACATAACACCTTGGAGCAGCCTGCGTCACAAAACGCCAATAAGTGTGTGCGTTAGCATTTGAGAACACGCCCACTATTTCCTCTCTGATGATAATTTCATCCCAAGAATGCATTGATACAGCACAATCCTTTCGCCTTCCCTGACAAGCACCATATCAATGACGCGCACAATGCAAGTTGTTCACCGCGATTACAAATAGCATAATCCAAGTATAAATAATGCATGTCCAAATGTGCCATAATCAACCGGACACCTGAAGAACAATTAGCGTTGTCTGCCATACAGGGAACACTTTCGGTTACTGAACCAAACACGGTACAGATGCATGCATGTGCTGCAGGCAACGGAGGGAGAGGGTCCCCATCAAGGACTGCAGTTGTCATCTGACACGCAAAATACATCATTGTATCTCCTTCCCCACAGAACCAGCCAGACAACGGCAAACTCGCGGTTAAATAAGTGATGAATACCTAAATCTACTTATTGAATGAGCAGATGGGCCAAACTTGACACTGCCTATATTTGAAACCAATGTAAGGATGCAGCCTCAAAGCAAGAAGCGCACACACAATTGGAGGAGCATAGCCGCTTGACTTTGGCCACACTGAGACTGGACGCGCATCACATGGAGAGCTTCATAGCTCCATGACAGCCAGATGAAGCCTTGCACATGCGTTGAGGAGGTGGCGAGGGCACATTGCATTGCAAGCATTTCAGCTCTCGTAAGGATGCACCTCGTAAACAAGGTATTGGTGGTTTTTTCAGGTTGTAGGTCAAGCGAAATCATAGAGCACGAAGTAAAGACCAACTGGCATGACATTGGTATAACTGAAAAAATGTGAAAGTGTGCGACCGGAGCCTTCTTCCACGTCCAAACTATGCTGTACAGTTGTTGTCTCGGTTAAACAAACGCATAAAATCGTGTGGATGTGCCCATACTTTGCAATGCCATTTCTTAAACGAAAAATGTTCCCACGTTGTCTCCATGCCTTCTCCAAAGCGTCGTGAGGGCGGTGTTCATACTCACATTTATTGATGTGCATCTAAGTAAGGATGCAATCACAAAACATTCTAAATGATAGGTCAATGTGAAATGTGCAGGAAATTGTGAGCAGTGGCAAGGCATGCCGTGAACGATGCTACACCATCTGCTATACGCACGCACAAAGGCAGACTCGCAGCAAATTGTTGTTCTGCGTGTCCTACACGGCGTCAAACAGCGCAGCCATCATGCCAATTGCCTGAATCGTCGGTTGTACTGCATGATCACCTCCTTTCCGCAAGCAACGGAACGCGACGAATCGACGTCATTGACCAGGCACTGCGCTTGAAATAATTCATAAAGAGCGCGACCCAACGACAGGTCGTCCCTGAGAAGTATGCGAAGCTTATTTTGCGTAGTTACGTCTCGAGACCAATGGTGATATCTGAGTAAAAACCAAAAGAAGACCACTCGGAAGAAACACGTGAGGCGACCGATGGTGGTGCATACAGAAGAAGCCACAAGGCACAATGCTCACCATCACTCCAACTCAGGCCCATGTCAAGATGCTAGTTATGTTTCAGACGAGCGCTGGCATAGTGTACTTACTAGCTTTCCTTTGTACTGTGCAAAACAGTGCGAATATCAATGGAAATGAGAGACACGCATGGCAGAGGATGGCGTAACACACAGAAGCGGGAAGAAACAAGCCCATCGATCGAAGATCAAGGAGGAGCTCTCACCAAGCCCCAGATTCTGCCCTTCCCCCGACCTGCTCCCCTCTCCAGCGACTGACGTACAGACTACAGTCCCCCAAGCGTGAGGCGTGATGACGGCGGGACCAGGCTGGAGCACCTTCACACAATGTCTAAGTACAGCGGGACTCCCCTGCGCTTCTGGTGGCCGTGCCGTCTCCCAGCGACCGCGGCACACGAACGCCGCACCGCACTCTGCCACGCCGCGTGGTTTTGAATCGGACGGGGAGGCGGCGCGCTCAGCGCACCGCCTGGGGCAAAATTAACACTCGGGGAGGGGGAGGGGGGGGGGGGGGGGAACCGAGATCGGTACCGGTACTGCCTCGAGGCGGTGCTTGGCCCGATTGAAAGGCGACATTGTGATGATCGAACGGCGTCCGGCTGCTCCGTCGTGCCCGGGCGCGTTCGGCTGGCAATCAGCGACTGCCGGTGGCAGGGCCTATTGAGCTGCTGGGCTGTTCGGGGAATATTCTCGTCACGGCCGCTCGGGCGCCGGCAGGCACGGCCCCGCTCTCAGGCGTTGTTGTTGGTGTCGAGTCGCGCTCACCGCGCGCGGATTTGGCGCCAGCCGCGGCCAGGCGCGCTGTTTACCGGTGCACGATACGATAGATTAGCCCGCCAGAGGCTTCAATGGTTGGGAAACCCACCCGACACGGCAGGGCAAGTGCATCGAGCGGCATGCTGCTGGACCCCGTCCCGCCGGGTTGGGCTCCGCCCGTTCTGTACAGAACGCAGGTCGCCAGAGGTGGGGAGACAGAAGTGCACATCAGCCACACCGAAGGTCGGGTGCCAGGTGAAGGCGGTCACCCGCTCCCGATCCGCCCGCCGTGGTCTACACCGTGCCGCGAGCGCTGCCGTACACTCACCGAGATGAGTTGATAGGAATGATTCATCATGGCGATGAACAGGTTGAGCAGGATAGTGATGTTGATGACGGAGTAGCAGCCGAACATGAGCATGCCCCAGAACCGGGTGAACGTCTTCAGGCCGGCCAGCTCGAAGTTGTCCAGGTCGATGAGGCCGAACACGGCCCAGAAGAGCGTCTGCATTGTCTCAAACAGACTGCAGCGAGAGGCGAGGCACGTGACCCGTGAGCGACCCGCGCCCCGCTCCGCCCCTGAGTCGGCGCCACCCGCCCTACAGCGGCCGGGTCAGCCCTCTCGGTACGGCGCCGGCGCCGGCGTCGGTGCCGGCGCCGGGCCGCCGTACGGTCCAGGGCATCGCCGACCTCCACCGCGATCGGACCCAACTTAACGCGTCGGGCTGCAGGGGGCGGGGTTCAAGTAACATTTAAGTCATGCTCCCCATGGGAGAAATAGGGTGACACATTGATTAACGAGCAGCTTAAGGAAACGCACCGCTCTCAGCCCTCCAAGTGAATCTAGATCCCTCGTCGGACCTGTTGTTCGATGTTCCCGGCACTCACTTGGAAAACCTTCGCCACACAAAACAGGCGTCTGGATCCTTCTCCCGATCCACGCATTGGGGGCCATGGCAGCGCAGCACGTAACACTTTTGTTTCTCTAGGTCCGCGTAGTACCACAGCAGCTGGTTCAGGCCTGAGAAAGGACCACAATAGCCATTCAACCCCGCAATGGAGGCCTACACAGACTTTACTCAGCCTCGAGATGGACGATAAACCAAGTTTGTCTTGCGAGGACTCCCACGCGTTTCTGATCACACTGCATGAATATCTAGGAAACGTTACTTGAACACCACAAAGAAACAGTATACATTAAATCAAGACACAACTCCACAGAAAAGCCAACGAGCTGAAAGCTCTCAAACTCTCATTTCCCATGACACCCAAAGTACACTTCTGTCCTTCGAGCCCAGCAGCAAAAACGAGCCACAGCAGCCTGTAAAATCGCATCACGCGGCCGCACCGCGCTTTAACCGCATGCTTAGTGTCCGGCCCATACGGACCCCGACATAGCCGGGCGCGCCAACGGCACGTGCCCGACGGGTCATGCATGCTCGATTGCTGCTCAGTATTCGGACGGGGTGAGAGCCAACAGGGCGAGAGGCAGCGTGCGGCAACCGGCGGCGGCCGGCGCCTGTCGCGTGAGATAGCGACGCGCCGGCAACCGGTGAGATTGGTCGTCGCGAGGCTCCTGCTGTCGGCTCAGTCGGTCCCCGCGGAGTCGCTTGCGCCCGCGTGGTAAAGCTTGGTTGCATTCTTGTGATGGCAATGTGGTGCTAAGACGTGAATATGGTTGGTGTGAGTGGGGGAGGGCACGGAATAAAGAAAGGTCAGAAGATCCAGCGACGAGACACGTTGCGTTTTTCGCGCTTATACTTGTTGGCATCTTGCTTTCATCTGAGCCGGTTTCAATGTTACCATTGGCAGTTAAGACGTTTTCACATATCTCAGCACTGTCGGACACATTATCTTCGCGCTGAAGCAGCGCACAACAACACAACTGCCCTGAGTCGCTCGAAACCAGACCCGGCCTGCCAAGTTCAATAAGGTCCCGCAGCGCGTACCGTAGTCGTTCGGCCATGCCCAGCCTGCGGCAGCATCGGCTAGCTGGACAGTTTGGACGATCGAGAGATTCCAACAAGCAAACGTCAGCTTAAGCCGAAAACTACGGAGCAAGCGGCCGATCCAGGAACGCTACCACGGGGCGATGGGTGCCGATGACGTCATCACGAGCTGACCGGCTGATGACGTGCCCTGAAGGGCTGGTAGTGGTACGGTAATCAGACGTGACACATTGCTGGTAAAGTAGTTGTGGGGAATCTCCTGCCATAGAGCGTCCAGGATGTTGTACAGTTAATTACCTGCTTTGTGCACAAATAAACGCCAGAAAGAAAGACTGTCTTCTCAACCGCCAATCTGCATGCTTACTATAAACGGTTTACACTCCTGAAAATATTCCCTATGATCCCCAAATCCCTATCTTTGTGTTCAGCAGCGTATAATGTCTTCTGATGGAACAGGCGAACGGAGCATAGGCAGGTGATCGATTTGTTTTCGCCAGCGAGGCATACTGATGAGCCCCAGGAGGGCAAATCATGCACACTGAAGCGACAGCTTATTCAGAGAGGTTGCGAGTGAAGAATAATGCAGCACGCTAAGCTAGCGTTAGCGTAGCTATCCTATAGCGTGCTCGACCCAGCGACGGCCAAAGGTTCAACATAGCATAACGCATCGCGGCGGTGTGCCCCTCCTCCTCCCTGCTGAGAATGAATGGATGCTTGCAACGATCAATGGAAACGTGTAATGGGTACCTCTGCTTGAGCAAGTGGAGCGAGTGCACGGCCGTCGTTCGTCGAACACCAGCAGTGCGGTGTGGCGCGTCCTCACCGGGCAGGTGCGGCGTAACGGCCGGCTAATTAGGTGCTGGTTGATGGCTGGCCCTAATGAAGGTTCCTAGCGTGCCTAGCAAAAGTAATATGCTCATTTAGATATATTAGAATGTGTGCGTGCGTGCGTGCGCGCGCGCGCGTGTGTGTGCATGTGTGGTGTGTATGTGTGTGTGTGTATGTGCGTGTGTATGTGTGTGCGTGTATGTGCATGTGTGTATGTGTGTGTGTGCGTGTGCGTGTGCGTGTGCGTGTGTGTGTGTGTGTGTGTGTGTGTGTGTGTGTGTGTGTGTGTGTGTGTGTGTGTGTGTGTGTGTGTGTGTGTGTGTGTGTGTGTGTGTGTGTGTGTGTGTGGGCATGTGTGTGTTCAAGTTTATGTCTGGCCTCATATGAACAAAATCTGGTGGGGAGAACGTTAATAAAGGCTCGAGTAGGTAGGTCAATTTGCCCCCTCCCTAAAGTCCTTCCGCAATGATTTCTGAAATGCCAAATTTTGCATAGCTGTAGACAACTGAAACGCAAGCCGCTTGGTTAAAACAATTTAGGTGTGCCTTGTAACGTCGCTGACCAACGGTAGGTCAAAACCAGGTCATGGATTCAGCAAATACAATTTCTAGGAAATCGTTCAATCTGATCCAGTAACGGAGCGTTAGACGAAGCCATAATGTCTCAGATAGTTTCTTGGGCCACAAAACAATTGAATGAACAAATGTCATCGACCTAGGGTCAGATATGAAGGTCAGACCAAGATAAAACCAACCTGCTTTGCTACTCTGGAGCTTGCTGTATGGAGTGGTTTCTGGTGCTCAATTCGAATTTATTGATAACAGGAACCGTATTATACATCCTCCATGGACTCCTTAAAAGTCAGAGTAGGCCACTGAGCCAAAATTATGCAGGTCAACATTTCGTTTTTAAGAACATACTGCCAAGCGAAATCCTTGGCGCTTATACAGTTGCAACTCAAAGCAGTCTTATATGATTTTGGTCACCATGACCTGCGAAAGGTTAAACAAGGTCAGTAACCTTAAATGATCACCAGTAATCTTTTGCTTAGAACATGTACCTAGGTTCTGGGGGAAATTTTGACAGCAATCACGATCACTTTTGACAGCAATTGAGTTTGACCTCGTTTGACCTCATTCGACACGAAGGTCATCACCTTGGAATGCCAACTTTCGACGCGAGATAATTCACATGTAGACCAACACACTATAAATTTGGTGCCTCTAGCTGCCTTCGTTTCTGAGATATCGGGCGGGGAGGGGGGGGGGGGGATTGCCCCCAGCCCGAGCGAGGGACGCTTCAACCGGCCACCCGGGCGCGTGTTGGAGTAACTGATGCGCTCGACCAGAACAGATGCGGTCTGTACAGTGGTCCCGTTCACAGCGCACCATTTTTTTTTTAAAGCTACCCCACGTGACCATTGGAAGGCAGTTGATTTGGTCTATTTTTTAGCTCTTACTGGATTTTACACATGATTGGCTTAATCGTTCACAGCAAAGGAACTTTCAGGTCAACTGAAACAACACATAGCTCTTTACCAGAACATTATTAGTAATTATCCTTCCAAAAGTTCCATCTTGAGAGGTTTCAGTTGTGATATTGTTGTCAACCACGAAATATGCTAATAATATTAGACAGCGGCCATTATTTGTTGTCAAAGTTCAAGACGCAGGTTTGCTCGCGTTGACTGAACCATGAAGACGACTTGGTGCTGCTTTGTCAAATGAAGCTTCATTTTACGTAACAAATACTGTGCTAATGCACCAAAATGTTAAGTTTTTCAAATTAAATGCTGTCGTGATTGCGCTCACTGTTGGGTTTTTATCTCTTGGGCTGTTGCCCCAAAATATTTCATCACTAAGCCAGCTGTTGAGTTGTCGAGTTCAGGATGCGCGGGCAGGCTGCTTCTAAGGGGGTTGTGAGGTGGGGGAGGGGAGGGGAGGTGATGGACGGTATGCGTGTGGGCAGTTTAAATTCCCGCCCGAATAATTATTTGCATGCGGGATGTCTAGGGCACTAAGCGGATGCTTAAAAGGTGTAAGTAAGCGCCAGGTAAGCTAGGAAGGTTCCCCGGGGCGCTTCCCTGGGATTCCATGCAAGGTCTCGATAGCAAACCCTAGAAAACTGCAAGTCCTCAGGTAAGCCGAGGTTCCATAAATTTCCTCCTAATTTTAACAGAAAATTTGCCTTTGAACCCTACCAAGTACTATTTGAGCACCAAGGAAGGTGCATACTACATAATTAGCCAGCCACCATCATCTATGTGACCGACGGTCTAACAGCAATATCAGCACAACAGGCAATTAACTGAGGTAAGCAAGGCACTGATTAATTTAAAATTGTCTTTAAACTACGTACCACACGATCACTTGCAATCTCGTCGCAAAGCAAATTATACCTGACAAAGCAGTCAAACATCGATCCTCTTGTTTCATAACCGCTACTTTCGCCAGCTCTCGTAACGAGGTACCGTAAGATACACACAAAGTTTTCTCCGCTTCATCTGCAGTCGATCGCATTATTGGAGCTACCTTTTCACTTTCCTCAGAGATCGATTGAAAACGTGACCCACCTAGGTAGTTTACGATCTGGCCACTATCGGGCGATGGTGGCCAGCGCAGACGCGCAGGGGCGGAGGTAGGCCCAGGCTGCTTTGGAGAGTGGAATTAAGAGGAGTTTTAGGCAACACATTTTGCTGGTCAACTACTACGGAAGACAATCTGAGGATCTTAGTTGGGCACTAAGGAAAAACATTCTATGAAACGAATTTTATCGCACTACTACACCTGCCAGTAAGGCGAACCTGGAATCGCCCATGAGGGTCACCTAGATAGCTCAGACGAGCTGTGCGCTGTGAACAGGGCAACTGTTATCTTGTCGAACACAGCGGCGAGTTCTTATGCTCCTCAGCTCTGCCGGCTCGCGTTCGCAGTTTGCACCTGAGCCCTCTGCTGACATGTAGTTGATGCCATTAGAGCCGGCGCCCTGGTGATTGGAATCTTGCCCTGATGAGAGTGTCAGTCCGCCTCACGAATCTCAGCAGTGTTTTCAAACATCTCCCTGCTTTGTCGTGAAATCGTGACCAAGTTTCCATACCATCTGGGGCATTTATTGGTCGTGTTTGGACAGAAAAAAACGTGTCTCTAGCTTTTCTGCTTTCTGGGTAGAGACGTTTTTCAAGAACCCGGCACGGCAAACCCACGCCCGGCGGAGCAACACGGTAGTGTTTGCTATCTGATTTGAATCGAATATTATAAGAACAGATTTGAAATGAAACCTTCATTTGAAATGAAACTTTCCAAATAGCTTATGTGTAAGATGTTTGTAAACCGAAACCCGCATCTATGTTCGATCGGTGCTGGCCGTGTTCTCCGCGTGATCCGGGATCACGCCTGTCGCCGCAGCTGAGCGACGCTGGACAACGGACGAATCCGCCCATCAAGTGCGGCGGGAATGATACTGCTACGTTCGCGAAGCCCTCGCATGATAAGTACTTGCTCAAAACACACAACAGCAGAAAACAAGCCCATGTACCCAAAACGTTAAAGGGAGCAAGCCTGTATGAGTTGCATGTATGTCGCTACGCGGTTTTATCGCTGTTGACGTATAAACCCGAAACAGGTTTGGTATTTGGAAACGATCGACGCATAACCTGGCATAGATGGATCAACTGGTGACCTAGGAACACAAAGCTTGAAATCGATCGCGAGTTCGCGGTGATACCAAGCCATTCGTTTTCACGCCGCTCCGTGTTCCTTGGTTTGGAAATAGTACGGAGGGAGGGATCTCATCGACCGCCCCGCACCAGCCCTCATTCTGAGAAACGGCGTATCGGAGAGGGTTAAGACCGGTGCTTTCTTTGCGAATGCTGCCAGAGTCACGCCACGGTTGCCACACCGAGGCCGACCGAGGCCTTCACCGCGCAGCTGATCCGCCCTTTCCCTGTGTTGTTGCCGGGGTGGGCCGCTGACACCTCTAGCGCACTGTATTGGGCGAGTTGCAGGTGGGGGAGTCCGGGGTCGTAAGTAAAAGGAGCAACGCTGCATAAGGGATGAAGCTGGCGGTTTGCCTTTGATAGGCGATACCCGCTGAACCCGAAGAAGAAGCCTTCACGAAATCGCCGGTCCTTTACCGGGAGTAGTATTAAAGGTTCGCATACGATCCGTAGAGGACGGCTTCTTTACAGTGGTGCACTCGAGTACATCTTGCTTCATTGTGGGATTGTGTTACCCGGTGGCAGTCACGACAGATGTCGTTGAGGCGGTGCGCTCGTTTTTTGGGTGAGAAAGGCAAACGGGATGGGTAGGACTGACCGCTGCAGGCAAGGTGTGCTGGTGTGAGAATGTGCTGGGATGGTGTCATCCTGCCATTGTTGTTTATTACAATTGATTGTTAATTCGCGGGTATGACAAGCCAACAGTATGATTGCCTCGCTCAGTAAAGAACAAATAGAAATATTTCGCAACCGAGACCATTCGCGCTGTTTTAAATGACGTCATCATTGTCCAGTTGGGTGCAGCTTCGCTGCTCATCTTTACCCGGCTGCATTGCTAAGCCACGAGGAGGCTCGGAAAGAAGGGGAGATGACACGAAGATAAATGGTTCAAAAACCTTATGGTCAGGTTACATAGCTAGAAAATTGCAACGTTGCGTCGTAGTGCTTGCTTCTGACCACGCTTCCCACCCAACCAACGCACATGAGCTGGAGAGATAAATACAAGGGGAAAATGGTCAGAACAACGCGTCGAATGAGCGCAGTACTTATGTGTTCTTAACCGTCCATCGGATCACGAATTAACGGTGCACCGTAAGCAAGCATATATATATATATATATATATATATATATATATATATATATATATGCGATGGCGACATTTGAATGCATCTCATCCTCTTCTTTGACACTCATCTTCATCTTTATCGTGCCCTCATGATACGCCCCATCCTCAAGGGGCGCATCACTCATATTCCCTCAGAATAATTGAGTTGCCGAAGTTTCAGTAGTCCGGGCGCGAGTTAGTGTTCATCCCACCCGACCACCTGCAACTGAGCGGCCGGGCAGGCCCAGGGAGGTGTCAGTTCTAACTGTAGCAGACCGGCTACCCACCGTGAAATGACTTACCGCAGGAGAACGCAAACAAAGTCAGTACGAAGAGACAGACGAACTTCATGATGTCGAGCACCATTCTGGAGAGGGTCACCTGCAGCGGCCCCAGATGAGGGTTTATCGAGAAAATGTACACGAGCTTCAAAGAACTGCAACAGAAGCGACCACGCAACGTTAAACAGCGCCAAGTTGCTGAACATTGGGGAGGCATGGTTACCTAATTTAGCTCGGTTCGCAAAGCATTTCGTGATGGCCGTGTGCGCAGCACGTGAAGTATGCGCTCGCAGGTGACATCTTGTCACAGCTCATTGAAAAGCAACGAACCCGAACCGCAGACACAGCTGTACATTTCCCGACGACGTGAAACGACGACGAACAACTGTAACACTATCCGTGTTACACCATCCTGAAATGCAGACTTTCAAGCGCACGAGCTGGACGGCAAAGAAGGTCAGTCATCACTCGAAAGGCAAACTTAAAAGTTGATCAGTGAAAATGGGGATCACATACGAGCAGAATACTCAGCACGCATGAGTTTCACACTCAAACCACCTAGCATACTTGACTGTCAAATGCAACAGCGGCAACGTTAGGGATATGCAGACCGAGAAGTTGCCCCCTATTTGGAAAAAAAAACATTAAGTTGGTAGCATAGCATTTGCGCGGAAAAGGCGAAATCAAAGTCAGGTTTGCCCACCTCCGTAATCATCTTTCCGCAGACCGCAGGGACGTGGGTGTTCCCAAAAACTAGCCAGCTGAACAGTATGGGATACAGTTCGTCATGCTTTCCAATTAAGCCACTGCCACACTTTCAGAGCTGTGTGTGGGCCCTAATCCGCGCCCTCATGCCCAGTTGCATGGACCTTTGCCATTGGGCGCCGCGTGCCGCTCACCTAAATATGTTGGCCGCGCCGAACAGGCCTTCGGCAATCAGCATCGGGTCCCAGGCGTCCCAGCACTCGCGCGGCAGATTGGCTGTGCCCGTGTTCTCCGCCAGCTCCTTCTGGACCTGGGTGCGGCGATGGGGTGCTGACGTCAACAGTGGCGTCACAGGCACAGGCACAGCCGGCGGCGGCGGCGGGCGTCCGGCTGCCTGGCTCCTCGTTGTATGCAACTTACTTCTATGCCAGTTCTGTCAGCTAAATGGTGGCGAGGCAGATGGGTAGAAAGTGCCATAGCACGATGAAAAAATTGTTTCATTCGTGTTATTCATGGTGTCCACCAGAGGACTGCATTCCTTCACGCCTATAACGTAACCATCTTGTATTGATCAAGTACGCCATGGTTCCACTATGACAGTTTTGGTCTTCGAGAGGATAATTCAATCACCACGCTATACCAACATCGAGTCACATCAAGTCCTGTACCCAAGTGCAAGCTCAAACAACAAGTCCCGTGTTGGGAATAACTCTCGCCGGCCTTGGCGTCAGCGACAGCTGCCGCGTGCACTTGTCGGCTGGCTCGGACGTGCCTGTCGGAGGCCTGAGCGTACCTGTCGGGGGGCTCGACCGTACCTGTCGGAGGCCTGAGCGTACATATCGGAGGCCTTGAGCATACCTGTCGGAGGGATCCAGCGTACCTATCGGAGGGCTCGACCGTGCCTGTCGGAGGGCCCGTCCGTACCTATCGGAGGGTTCGACCGTACCTGTCGGAGGGCTCCAGCGTACATGTGGGAGTCCTGTGCGTACCTGTCGCCTGTGAGGCCTTGAGCGTACCTGTCGGAGGGCTCGAACGTACCTATCGGAGGGGCTCGACCGTACCTGTCGGAGGGCCCGTCCGTACCTATCGGAGGGCTCGACCGTACCTGTCGGAGGGCTCCAGCGCACATGTAGGAGTCCTGTGCGTACCTGTCGTCTGTAAGGCCTTGAGGGTACCTGTCGGAGGGCTCGAGCGTACCTGTCGGAGGGCTCGAACGTACCTATCGGAGGGCTCGACCGTGCTTGTCGGAGGGCCCGTCCGTACCTATCGGAAGGCTCGACCATACCTGTCGGAGGGCTCCAGCGTACATGTGGGAGTCCTGTGCGTACCTGTCGTCTGTGAGGCCTTGAGCGTACCTGTCGGAGGGCTCGAACGTACCTGTCGGAAGGCGACTACGCGCAGGGCGATGGTGGCCACGTACAGCGCGTTGGTGACAAAATCGATCACATTCCAGAGGTCGCTGGCGTATTCCTGAAGGCCTATGTCCCACAACTGCTTGATCTCGCTCCATATCAGGCCTATGGGAGGTCAGGAGGCCATCGAGGGGTCAGACGAGACTGAGTTTGCCGCCGAATCATGCCAATGACATGCCACCGCACCCTGACGCCACGCCGGCTGATGGAACCAATTAGCGATCACGGAAGACTCCGGTAGTAGGCTCGGCACGGACCTAGCCGGGTGACGTATGTGTTGTTCCATGACATGCATGCGGACAACAAAACATCTCCTTCGGGGGACATGTGATGATAGTTTTCGTTTCTGCGCTGCCCCAAATCTTAACCTCGGTATCGATGTGGATTTACAGGATGGTTAATTAACATTACATAACTACATTACATTTAAAATTCGGAACTACATCTGCAGTAGCGTAAGGAACGGAAGCATGTTTCCGTGGTATATGCCCACAGTTCACTGCCAGAAAGGTAGACGCAATGAATGCAATTGGTAGATAACGGATCGGAACGGCGTTAGACCGAGCGTAGGTAATACGCATGATGTGCATGGCGAAACACGTCAGATGTGTGCATGTACCCTTACCACCTAATGGAATTCAGACATTTGATTAGCAGGCTTTAAGCAGTGCTGGATTGCCAAAGAAACAGCTGTTTTTTTCTGCAAGCACATCGACACAAGTAACAGCAGCAAAAAGTTGAATGCTTTGGCACCTGACCCTAGTTCACATGCTGTGAGCCACGACAGCTTTCTAAAATCCCAGTCAGCTGTTAAATGCTGCGGAGTGTGCGCAAGGTGCATCTTAATGGATTTTCGGTGTCGCTTAACCTGATTTCACTTTCCGCGGGGTCAAAATTCGTTATGTCCTTGAATTCAGCATATTTGCTTTTGGACAACGATAAGAGCGCTGTCCAGGAGATGAAGTGGTAGTTGAGCTCAAAAGCCTCTCTGGAGTATTTAAGCCCGCATCAGATCTCTCAGCACCATTCTAGTGCCTTACTAATGGATGTCACATACTGTGCCCGCTTCCTGATCGCAAGAAAGCAAAAAATCGCATCTAATGCAGTTAGCAGTGTCCTTACAAATAAGATGTTCAATGCCCGCAGGACCGTATTTGCTTCATGTAGTTTTAAGCTCGTGACAACTTAATGACGTCCTCACAAGTTTCTTGGCGCATCTCGGGCAACTACAGCCTCCCGACGAGACTATGGTGGCGGGAGAGGTATGGCGGCGGAAGACGCTACGGTGACGTACAGTCTGACGTCAGCACTGGGTCCCATCTATCGCCCAACGGATCCAATCACTTTCTTTCATCTGCTGAAAGCAGCTCGCCGATCTGAATTCCGATAACCCGTGCCCAGGCAGACAGTAATGGGAGAAGTGTTGAATATGCCGTTTATGGGGACTCCATTCATTTATTCCACGGTTATGTTCGCGGGTCTGCAGTTTATAAACGCAGGAAGTCTGAGGTAACTATATTTTTGAATAGTAATACAGCTACATAAAAAGAGATCAGACGGTTCCCGGTTCATTTAATGTTAAATGTATCGTAGTGATACCTCTGAAGAAACATGGTCTAGGGTTAATGTGTAAGACAGCTTTCCTATCATAACATCAGAGGCGGATCAAGAGAGGGGGGCCACGGGGCCATGGTCCCCTTGGGCCCCGAAGGGGTCCTATTGGCTCCGAGGGGCCCCATAGCACCGGCCGAACAGGTGCAGTTTTTTAAACACAAAACGCAACAAAACTTGGTATCTCTGGACTTCCAGGCGACCAAGAACAGTTGTAAGCGAAAGTGAAGGGTCTACGAGAAGTCGCAAAAAAATCATGCAATGATTGGAAAGGTTGTGAACTGGAAATTTTAAGCCTCATTACACTGTCTAGGGACCCCATCTTGTTGCCGTGGAACCTATATGCCCACTTCCGGATCATTTCAATCGTTAAGGAGCATTCCACGTTGCCCTTCATCTCTTTGCATTTGCTCCAAGGGCCCTGCGCTGTTGTTGGGACCCTTTCTGTTAGCGTGCCGGAGCACTCTTGTCAATCATGGGCCTTTCAACGGATTCTTTCCATTCGCCAGAAAGGCTCTGTGAGTTATAGCCGGGGTCTCAGATCTTAACCTGACGGGATATTCTCGGTTGCTCAGGGGCGTGGGTCTCGGGACCTGGGACCTTTACGTGGGTCTCGGTTAACCTACCGACCCGACACACTTGCAATATGCTCATGATCCCTCCACATAGGTCTAGGACGTTTCCAATTCTCTTCCACTTGCTTGCTTAGGATTGGGATCGCTCTCACTTGCTTAATTCTCTCTCACTTACACTCTCGTCGGGAGCCCATCTGATGGCCTGCTTGGGCACACTCAGTCGTTCGGGGACCATCCAGACTGGGTCTTAGGTACTTCTTTTCTGAATAGGGGGCCCTACGCTCTTGTGGGAGCCTATCTGATAGCCTGCTCGGGCACATTCGGTCGTTCGGGGTCTCTCTACATTGGGCCTTGTGAACGTAATATTTGACTGGGGCCCTACGCGCTTGTCGGGGAGCCCATTCTGTTCGCCTCCCCGGCCACGCTGGATTGCCTAGGGGGCCGTACACGTTGGTTCTTGGTGTTTGAATTTAGGGCCTCTGCTTCTATCGGGGTCATCTGATAACCTGTTCGGGTACACCCCATCTTTCGGGGGCCCTCCGCGCCGGGTTTTGGGTGCTTCTTATTTGAATGGAGGGTCTTACGCCCCTGTCGAGGCCCCTTCTTATAAGATCCTCGGGCCCATTCAATTGTAGGGACAACATCTGGTTTTGGATACGTCCTTTTTTAATGGAGGGCCCTCTGCTCTTTTACCCTCGATTATTCGGGGCTCTCTGCATCGTGTCGTGAATATTTCATATTTGGACGGAAGTCCTAAGCTCTTACCGAGGCCCCATCTGTTAACCTGCTCGGGCCTACTCGAATATCCGGGGACCCCCCACATTGTGTCTTGGCCACTTTCCATCTCAATGGAGGGCCCTACGCACTCTTCGGGACCCCATCTGTCGCTTCGGTCACACTGGATTGTTCGGGGGCCCAATAGATTGGGTCTTGGTATTTGAGTTCAGGGCCCTACACTCCTGTCTGGCACCTCATAATCTGCTCGGGTATACCCCATCTTTTGGGGGCCCTGCAAACTGGGTTTTGAGTACTTCTGATTTCAATGGACTACCCTACGCTTTTGTCAGGCCTCTTCTGATAAGCTGCTCGGGAATATTCCATCATTCCGGGGCCATTTACATAAGGTCTTCGATGCTTCCCATTTGAATAGAGGACCCTATACTCTTGTTGGTAGCCCCATTTGTTTACCTGCTCGGGCACACTCGATCAATCGGGAGCCCTCTACATTCGGTCTTGGGTGATTCCTATTTGAATGGAGGACACTACGCTCTTGACGGGGGGCCTATGTATTAACCTGCTCTGACGCACTGAATCATTCGGGGGTCCCCTGCAGTAGATCTTGAATACTTCCTATTTGAATGGAGGGCCCTAAGCTCTTTTTGGGAACCTTATCTGTTAACCTGTTCGGACACATTCGATCATTCGGGGCCCTGTACATCGGGTTTGAGCACTTCCTATTTGAATGGAGGGCCCTACGCTCTTGACGGTTGCCCTATATGTTAACCTGCCCGGGCACATTCGATCGTTCAGAGTCCTACACACTGCATTTTGAGTATTTCTTATTTGAATTTACGCCCCTATGCTCTTGGCAAGCGCCATCTATTCAGCTGCTCGGGCCGGCGGCGGATGCAGAGGGTCAGGGGGGGGGGAGGCACAGGACCATGTCCCATGGACCATGCCGAGGTGACCTAAAGGCTCCAAAGGGGCCCATAACCGGCCGGACGGACGCAGGTTTCTTACAACAAAAACACAACAAAATTAGGTGCCTTTGGGCCTACAGACGGCCAAGAACCATGGTTAACAAAACTAAGAGGTTTATGAGCAAACAAAGTTTATTTATTCTTCACTGATTGAAAAAGTGTTGTTTTTCGAGGAAATTTTTGGGCTCATTACCCTGTCTAAACACATTACGCCGTTGGTTGCCTGGCCCTGTATGTCCACTTGCCGGGCCCATCCGATCGCTAAGAAGCTTTCCACGGCGCCCTTGATCTCTGTATTTTTTCATAGGGCCCAACGTGCTGTTGGGACGCTATCTGCCTCCATGCCTGAAAACTGTTCATCCATCAGGTTTTCCTCCAAGGATTCCTCCCATTCGCCCGAAAGGCTCTACGCACTTTTCTCAGAGGCCCCATATCCAAGGGCACACTCAGTTGTTAAGGGGCCCTTCATAAAAGTATCGGGTTCTTTCTGCTTGCTTGGAGGGCCTTGTACTGTTGCTAGGGCTCTTATAAGGCAAGGCACGGAGACACTCGATGCTCAGGGGTCCTCTATTTTGATCGAGGGCTCTCTCCCTTTGGTCTCATTTACGGAGGACTCTTCACTTCTGTTGAGGCTTATGTTATTAACCAGCCCGTGCACTCTTGATCGAACAGGGGTATTAACTTATGGTCTTGGATAATTCCCATTTGCTTAGAGGGTCCTGTTCTTTGGCCGGGGCCTTATATGTCAGCCTGCTGAGGAACTACCGATCGTTTAGGGGCCCACCACGTTGGTCTTGGGTTCTTCTTGCTTGCTCTGAGGACCCTACTATACTTGTTGACGGGAGCCACTGTGTTGGCCTCCTGCGGCAGCCATGATCGCTCATGTTCCCTCCCTTTTGACTTTGGTGCTTTTGTCTTAGAGCAGCAGTCGAATATGCGCTGATGAATTTTCACGCGCGATTGCCGAACGTACCGTTATGTGCCGCCGACGTTATACGCGTCATTTCCATTGGCTATTGAGTATGCCAACTTGCTACACTAGTGCATCACATTCTTAACATGTTTTGAATGATAGGAAATGTACTCCTTTATAACAAAGGAAGAATTCTACATTAGTCATCAGCCATCAGCACAGCCGGCTGGCCGTAAATACATGAGTTAGGAATTAAATACATGCTTGGTTGTAATGGTTGTTAGCAGCCAACTCAAAATTATTTTGCCTCTTGTCCCGAAACACTTAGCACCAAACTCACAGCATTTAAAACAACCTGTAGAAAATGAGTGAGCTTTATGTAAGATGGGTTTACATATTTATTAGACAAATAAAAAGGTAGATGCATATATATATATATATATATATATATATATATATATATACATATACATATATATATAAATACATACACACACACATACATATATACATATATATACATATACATATATATATATATATATATATGTATATATATGTATATATACATATATATATATATATATATATATATATATATATATATATATATATATATACACATATATTACATACAACTTGCCTTAAATGTGGCATGCCTAATGACTGAAATGCAAGGATATTTTTCGGAGGGGGTTCCAAACTCCAGGGGGCCCCACAATGTTGCGTGCCCCCCCCCCCCATTGACGAAATACAGGATCCGCCCCTGCATAACATTGCGACACTAATGTTCGTAGAGATGGTCAGAAAGAACACAATTAGTAAGGCCACCATCGCATGGAATACGAATCCAAACAGATTGTGTCTAAGCCATCCCTGGCCAATTCATGTCAATTTATTGAAACGAGGGCCGGGCGCTCCCGCAATCTGTTCATAACTTCCTCGCAATGGTCTCACGTTGGCAACCCGACAGAAGGTGCCCCCCCCCCCCCCCCATCCCCTAGTGGACGTCCCGTCGCCCCTCACCTGCAACCCAGGCCAGGATGAGCCACTCCACCAGGCTGGGTGGCGCGCCGCGTTTGGTGGTGACGTCCGTGGCGATCCAGCCGCGTGCCACGTGCGCCATGCCGAACCAATCCAGCACCACTGTTTCAATACGCTGCGACGCCAGAATGAGCAATACTGCGAACACGCCAGGATGAGCAATACTGTGAACACGCCAGGATGAGCAACACTGCGAGCACGCCAGGATGGGCAACATTGCGAACACGCCGGGATGAGCGACACTGCGAACACGCCAGAATGGCCAAAACTGCGAACATGCCAGGATGGACAACACTGCGAACACGCCAGGATGGGCAACACTGCGAACAAGCCGCGGCGCGGGCACTGCATAAGCCTTCACCGCGGGATGAGAGGGCTTGGAAGCGGCGCAGTTGGGTGATAACTAGAGAATGGCAAAGGTCAGTCAAAGGGGTGGTGGAACGCACTGCCCTCTGAGGGTAATTTGTCATATGCAGTTGCTCGCATATTCCAGAAACAAAGGCATCATATGTCATGCGGTCGTTTACGCTTTATAGACTCCGAATCTAAACGGGCGATATTGAATCGGCTGAAAATGAGTGCTTACATACTCTCAAATAGGGTGCGATAGAGCACGACACGATATTGGATCAGGCAGTGCGCAATGCAATGGTGGACCAGCTCGAACACAGGCAATCATGCAACACGGCGTGCGTCATTAATGGAGCGCAAGGATGCGTGACGCAATGATTGCTAACTGCATCCTTTTGATGGATGGCACACACATACACTATGCAGATCAGAAACTAGAGTAGAGCCGCATTGTCATTATTAGATTGCGTCAAGTCGCCGGCGTGAATGGAAAAAAATGTCTTTATAATCTATAATATATGCAAGTCCCAACGAGCAGCCGATCTTATAAAAAAGAAAGTCGTATAAATGCGTTTTCGTCTTTCCATCAACCTATGTACCGAAATAGTGCAAAGCTCAGGCAAAATACAAACGGTACGTTTCGCGCTATGAAAGATGCGCTCAAGCAAACTCCAAAAACTGTGGAAGAGAAAGAACGTCCAGAGCCTGAAAACAACAGCCGTTGGTCGGCGCGCGCTGCCACTCACCCAGGAATGTCAGGTAGGAGGCGGAGTGGCAGATGAACTTGATGAACGGCTTGCGCATTGTCTGGCCCACCCGACTGTGCGGGGCCGTGATGTAGCAGAAGGAGAAGAGCGGAAACAGGATCCCGATTCGAATCACCTCGATCATCTGCAGGAACATATTTTTCCGACGGAAGCCGGGCAGACCCTCGTACCAGATGGAGGCCAGCAGCTGCTGCACGTTCGGGTGGGCTACGAACTGGAAAGATAACGCGGCCGCGACATTAGTACCGAGTGGCGCATCCGCATCGGTCGACGCAGCGGGCCGAAGACGGCGACGTTTTGGGTGGCCACTGTCAGAGGCTGTACGGCAAGCAGGCGGGGGATACTGCGCCGCGGAGCCCCCACCGGAAGTTTGCCGCGGAGCACCGTCTGGCCGACCGCTAACGGTACATTCCGCGGTTCCTCAGACGAAATCTGAGGCGCACCAGACGAGCAGTAACAAACCTTTCATAGCTTGTTGAACTCCAGCATAATGGTTGGAATCAATAAACCAGCCAGCGAGCCCACAGGCGCCAGACAGAATCGGTCTGACGAGATTGACCGTGACAATTCGTGGCGGTGCAATTCTTTTTTACTCACTTTTCACTTTGCTTTTATGCCACTATCACTTCATCAATCTGTGCCCAAAACAAGGGCATGTGCCATCAGTTTGAACGAAATGTAGCTTTATTCTACAACGCTAAGCCATAATTTTACGGAAGGATTGAAACGAGGCATTAGCACGACTGACGCACTGGCACTGGCTATTATGTAATAAACTTTTCGGCCTAATAATTATCAGGCCACCGTTAGGTGTTATTGGGAACGATTTGGCCGCTTAGTCAGCTTGGTAGAACGCCAAATTCGCAATCAGAATGTTCCTGTTCCATCTCCAGCCATTTCATGGAGAAAATTCGGGTTGTGATGCATACATGATTTACATAGAACACCATCCAGCCCTTTTCAGAACTAAGTAAGGCTGGTGATGGCAGGAGAATCAGAAGAATTGACTGTTCGAGTTCTTGTGTACATGCTAACACTCAATGACGATAGATCTGACGATTATTTCATCCTTCATTGTTAAGTCCATTACAGTGGCTGACGCTAGAAATATAATGACATCATGCATTTGCTGATGAGGCCCACGCTGGAAGAAAATCGTTTTATCATAGTCAATATCAATCAATAATAGATATCAAGTCTCCAGATAGTCACATGTGGCAAGACAAAAACAAGTTTAAAAGGCTTCCAGCGTTGCTTCTTCAAGTTAAAATGACCTGATCCACGTTGACCTCCTTATTCGTCAGGTTTTCTATAAGTGGCCTCAATACCACAATGAATCAGCGTTCACATGAGAGTCTTTGTTCTTTTAACTGACAGGACTTGGAAACACAATAGCGATGGTAATAGATGAGCGGATTCATTCAACATCTATCCCGACATTCACGATCTCAATTAGCGGCTGCATGAAAAGCGTTCGCCGATAGTGCCGATTTACGAGCGCCACTCGTGATAAATAACCGCCTTCGCCCGTGGCGACGGCGTCCTTGGTTAACTTGTTGAGGCCGGGAGGTCGGCCGTGCGCGCTCGTGCCGCTCCGCTCGTCTGCGGCGTGCGTCGACCGACCGGCGAGCGACCAAATCAGAGCGCAGGGACCACGAACGGCCATTCAGCACCCGACGCCGGGCGATTATGGGGGAGGGCCGCGCCCGGCGTGACGCGCATTCGGAGGTCGGCCGGTGGCGGTGTGAGACGCGCGCCGTCACCGGCCGAGCCAGGCCGGGCTGTGCGGGCGATGCTCTGTCCGAACTCTGCTGGGACATGAACGGATACCTGGAGGTGCGTGGGAGGTAGGGGCGCAGCCCAGGAGGGCCCGTGGCCCGGGGCCAGGGGCCTCTCGTTTGGCCTGAATCTTTGCACCGAGAGGGCTCCCGGCAGAAATTTTTAAACATCGCGTTGTGCGTGCTCGCCGAGCCCAGGGCTCCTCCCTTTAGAACATCATGACTGCGATCCTGGCCGACAGCATCAACAATCAAGTGAAAAGTGCAAGACACAGCTGATGCGTACAGCCGGGGTAGCAGCAGTGGCCACGGCTGCATCTTCAGTTTGCTGTGCGTCGTCTCCACGAAGGCTTTTACTCAGAGAGCGGTGCTCCTCTCCCGCGACTCCGAGCACCGGTCAGCGTGGACTGCCGCTGACCGACTCCAAACACCGGTCAGCGTGGACCGGCGCTGACCGACTCCGCACACCGGTCAGCGTGGACCGGCGCTGACCGACTCCGAACACCAGTCAGCGTAGACCGGCGCTGACCGACTCCGAACACCGGTGCTGACCTACTCCAAACACCGGTCAGCGTGGACTGCCGCTGACCGACTCCAAACACCGGTCAGCGTGGACCGGCGCTGACCGACTCCGAACATAAGTCAGCGTAGACCGGCGCTGACCGACTCCGAACACCGGTGCTGACCTACTCCGAACACCGGTCAGCGTAGACTGGCGCTGACCGACTCCCAACACCGGTCAGCGTGGACCAGCACTGACCGACTCCCAACACCGGTCAGCGTGGACTGACGCTGACCGACTCCGAACGCCGGTCAGCATGGACTGACGCTGACCGACTCCGAACACCAGTCAGCGTGGACTGGTGTTGGCCGAATTCGCCAGTGCAACTGACGGCGGGCCTCGAAGCCCTCTCTGTCTCGATCTACGCACCGGCAAGCGGGCTCCCGCCAGTGGCAACAGCTGGCGTCACATCTCCCGCGACCCGCCGCTTCGCGCCGACATGTCGGCCGCCTGTCCGACAGCCGCCGCGACAGCGGATCGCATGGCGCCAGCTGTTTGTCGTCTCGGAGGCCGGCGCCGGTCCGGTGTCGGGTTTGCCGCCGACCAGCGGGCGACTCCCATCGCTTTAGTTTACGGCCGGCGGGGGGCGGCTTTACGACAGACGGCAGCGCTGCGCCGCGCTGAATCGCTGGGGAAAACGCGACGCGCCACGTGCCATTGTCGCCACGGGACCCGCACTGGCCTTCGCCGCGTTTTATCCGCGTTTTGTAGTGCGATTCGTGCATTATGCAAACGCCGTTAGGATAAGATGACCCGAATTTGTTCGAAAGCGAGAGTAAACGTGGTTTATTGAGCCACAGAAAACCGCTGAGCATTGTTAGCCTAATGTATTGAGCAAAAAAAGTTGAAGATAGAAAAGCACGCTTTTATGATGGTTCTTTAGCTACCTCTTAGTCGCTTCAGGTTAAGATTTCCCCAGTTAAGCTTCGCGCCACACGGACGAACATGTGACGAAAAATGCATCATAGAATTGAAGCAATAGCACCATACCACAACGAACATCTTGTATCTGCCTATGCAATAACGAAGATATGATAAATAGCTAAGATATACATTTTATGAAACTATGTTTTACGATTGGTCAGCATCATATTGATTTCCATGTTTTTCGCCATATTCTATTTTTCCGTGAGCACGTGGAAATGCAGCCGTTTAAAATCCTCCCGGTGGTGATAGAGAGCTACTTCCTACTTAATTCCCACCAACAAACAAGTGCTTGTTATTCACAAGTCCTCATTCGCTGGACCTTACATTGGTGAGGCCCTAAGGTCTTCCTTGCGAGCTTTGTTGCAAAATATCACAACTGGGATTTCAAAACGATGAAACATAACGTGCCCTGGTCATCATGCCTCTTCCAGTTGCAAGATCTAACTTTGGCAAATGCCTCGCCAATTCGCATAGTGTTCGTGAATTCGCCAATTCGGTGGTCCAAGCGAAAGACCGACAGCCATCCTGGATCGACCAGTTTCGACCAATAGAACACCGCACGCCGCGGCGTCAATCAGGCCAGCTGCCAGACAGGAGTCGGCGCGCCTGTGTTTTTCGCGGCGAAGTGGAGAAAACCTGGCGTCGACTTTGTGTGACGTGCTGAGAGTGAGGCTGTTGATGCCAATTCGGCTTCAAAGCGAGTTTAAAACGAACCGAGACGCCTCGGAACGGAGTCTTTCCAGTTGTTGGGTG